ATGTGAAGTCAGAGATGAATCTTGTTGATCCTCTGACTAAGCCACTAGCAAGGAGACTAGTGTGCGAGACATCGAGGGGGATATGACTATTGCCTATTTTAGGGACTATGTGATTGATACCCAACCCTTATGATGAGTGATTGCACATATTGGGTTAAATGGGAAACGAAGTCACAAACAGTCTCGGAGGGGTACTGTCACATATTGTTATCTCACTTAGGCACCAAAGCTTAATGTGAAGGTTCATCGCTATGGTGTCATGACAGTGCCGCTACGGTGAGAAGGTTGAGTTGTTGCTCTTAATAGATCCATAGTCCTTAATTATTCGGATGGGGTGTTCGATTGTAGCACACTCTTGATGGATTCTACTTATTTGTGTGTGAAGGTGGAGCCGCTTTCTATATGACATGGGCAAGTCACTGGAGCACTCATGAAAACCTAAGACAGGCGTGCCCAGACCCAAACCCCTTTTTGAGAAACACACACGTGTGCACCCCCCCCCCCCCCCCCAAAAAAAATAATAAATAAATAACACACACACACAATGCTTTGTTCATTTCTGATCTTGATGTTGTGACGAAGTAAGCCGAGAATTGTAACTAACTCCAATGTAAATTGTGTTGTTTTACTTTTTTAATTAATCTTTTAATTATTCTATTTGATGGACTATTATTTTAATGCACTACAAGAAAAAAATATTTTGATGGCAGTAAAGTGCTGTCATGAAAGGCCTATTTGACTTCAAAATTACTTTTTGTAGTGACATTGCCTCGTCATAATAAGCGTGGTCTCAAAATTTTTTACGGCAGCAACGGTTTGCTCAAATAGTATTTATGATAGTAAGACCATATCGTAAATAAGTTGTCACAAAAAATCCGACATTTTTGTTTTTATTAGGGCGGCAAAAGTGCTGCCTCAAATATCACATATGACTGTTGTAAAAAATAGAAGATTTTGTTACGGCGGTTAATATACTGTCGCAAAAAATATGAAATTCTTTCTACGTTAAATAAAATATATTTACGATGACAATGATGCCGCCACAAAAAAAAAACAATTTTTTTTTATTATTATGGACCGTTGGCAACCAATGTTATATACCTTGTGCATATATACACTTCAATCTCATGAATTTAAAAGTGCACATTCGTACAACTATTTTGTTTTTTGGGAGGGAAAGGGAGAGAGGAGAAGGGGGCTTGAACCCTTAACCTCAAGAAGACAAAACTTTCCCAAGGTAATAAGTATCATTAGATCAAAGACCTATTAGTATCCGTATAACCACTCAATTCAATATATAGATAAACACAAAGTAAATATGATTAACATTTCCAAAAATATAACAATATTTTCATATCAACACAAAAAAAATCTCATGAGTTAAACAAAATGTAAAATATGCATTTTTACAAAACATAATGATCCATGAGTAGAAGAAATTAATGCAAAAAGTTTAACATCTTCCCGAACCATCTACTCTCTAAATAATATCTGAAAAAAATATAAAATTATTGTTACTATACTGAAATGATATTTATATACATATATACAATAAAGAATTAAAAGAAGTTAGAATATATATCAACAGAGGGCCACACAATATTTCGCTCAAAGGCTTGTCCAATTATGTAAATGGTATATAAACGAGTCATATCGTATACATTTCTTCTAATTGGTTTCACCAATACCTGATTCATTTATAATCGTATCGTGTTGGGTCCAGTTGTTTACTAAACAAGTGGCTTAAGGAGGATTGAAAACCACTAATTTTATGTCGTGTTAACGGGTCGTATTTTATATAAAAAATTTATTTTGTAGAGTTTAATTTTTTTTTCTTTGATTAAAAATTATCTTTTGATGTAAAACTACGTAATTTTATAAAATATTACTTGTAACATGAAAAATAGTTGTGGACAATATAAATTTTTTTTAGAGTTTTTCTTCTTTAAATAATAAACTGTTTGTAATCAAAAATAATATTTTAATGTTTTATGAAATATTATATACGAGGGAAAAAATAGCTTTCATAAATATAAAAAATTCTTTTTAGTTTATGAAATATTATTTGCGGCAAGAAAAACAGCTGTCTTAAATACAAAAATTTCTTTTAAGTCTGTGTCACTATTTATGGCAACAAAAATAGCTGTAACAAATATTAAAAAAATATTAATACAAACACGTTTTTTGTGGCGGCAAACACAACCGTCACAAAAAAATTGTCTCAAACACGCTTTTTGTGACAACGATCACAACTATTATAAAAAATTTGTCACAAAAGGCCATTATTCTTGCGGTGTTGGTTGTTGTCTTTAATGGCATATGTTTTGTTGTAAGGACTAAGGAATTGCGTATAGATGTATTGGTTGTTTGGTCCTCCCTGATGAATATTTATAGTAATTTTGTATGATACTTGGGATTGTTTTGATATGTTATTTTAAACATATAGAACAATAAAGGGAAAGAGTGTGTCTATATGGAAACGATAATGAGTGGCTAGTGCCTCAGGACAACGTTTTTCCCAGTAGAAAAAGGTAAAAATTTTCAAATGATTTATGCTTTTATCAAATTTGTCCATGGTAAAATTCTCCGGATGAAAAGAAGAATTACCACATTCAGAGGCAAATTATTTGCAAGCACCACATTCAGGTAAGCTTTAGAAATGCTCACAACGGGCACTTTCCTACTGGGGTTTTCTAGTTCTATTGTTATTGATTTCAAATCTTGCAATTTTGATTTTGTTGTGTATTGATAGTGTTCATTTTATATTATGAGAGGAGGAAGGGAGTTTTTTCCAGTTATTGTCAGATGTCTTCAAGGTAATCAAGTAGATTGGCATTATAGGTTGGAGGTTATCAGAATCTCACGTAGACACATATGGATTACTTGGTCTTCATCCATAAATTCTTTACATTTTTTCATAGTTATTTGTGTTAGGTTTTGATTTAATTTTATTTTTCAGCATTATGAATTTTTTGTGCGCAATTTCTTACGATTGTTGGATACGAAAACAAATATATGGATTTTAACGGAACTTAATTGGATTTCATATACCCTTGATGTAGAAAACAAATATATGGATTTTAAAGGCGTGAGCATGTTTGCTTAAATTGATTCAAATATAGATGCCCTACATGCAGACAATTTGTGAGCATCAAGATACAAGATTTTACATGCTTCAAACCTATTAAGAAGATAATGGTATATTTCATTTCCTTTAGCCACAGGTGGATGCCAAGATTTTGATATCAATTTTTTTGGTTTAGTTTTTTTTTTGTTTGTAATTGAATGCTTTAAATGATATACTGTTGTGATCTTGAGGAATATCTTATTTGCTTCTTGCTTTCACCTTTCACCTTTCCGGATTTTTTAATATTTTATTTAATTAGTTTTGTTCGGCAATTTGGTAAGTTTTGTTCGTGCTGGGTGGTGGTGGTTTTGAAAGAGGTGTGGAGTGACTTTTTTAGCGTGATTTTGAGAAGTGCCGTAGGCATGGACATATGCCTAAGATTTTGTTTCCGTTGGTGCACTATTTTGATTTTGTGTTTGTCACGATGGAGGACTACTTTATGTGGGGTTGTCAAATTTTCGACACGATACGGACTGAATACGAAATTAATAGGTTGGACACGAAATTAAATGAATTAACAGGTTAAAACGGGTCAACACAATTAAACACGAAAAAAATCATTAATGTCAAAATCAGGTCAACCTGATTTTGATCTGATTAACCTACATATTTTAAATGAGTTGACATAATTCAGACACAAACCCGACCTAACCCATTGTAGACCTGTTTAACCTGTTTATGACAATATAATTTGACTATTATGTATGACTGATGTGGTCTTAACATTATTATTTATTAGTTTTTACTTCTACTATGATAACTGGCAGTATAGTTCTTAACATTATTATGATAGTATAGTAGTATAGTTATTACTTTAATTTTTGAGTTGAAACTTGAATGCATTTTAGTTAATTTCATTGATGAGATATGATATGTTATTTGTAAAAAACTTATTTGAAATTTTGGATGAATGATCGAATAATGTATTTAATAGTAATGAACTGGTGTGTTATATATGCTAATCAAGTTAAACAAATCATGTTATGTGTGTTAACCCGAAAATGATCTGTTTATTAAATGTGTCAAACAGGTCGGGTTCGGATAACCCGTTTAATGGTCAGGTCAGATTAATTTTTACACATCTCGACATGATTGTTAAATATGTTAGGATTGGGTTTTAAAATATTTGATACAAACTCAAAATCAATTCGACACAAAATAACCCAACTCGACATGTTTGATACCCCTAACTTTATGGATGACATATGTGTTTTTGTTTTGAGTTATATATTTGGCATTTGAACTACTTAAGCTACTGTTGTTACTTAGTTACTTTTGGTGTATTTAATTGAACTGCTTATGCTTTGATTGCAGTAAGATTATTGGGCAAATGCTGATAATATGCTATTAGGCCCAAATTGTTTCATTCCACAAGAAGTTGCATTAGGCCCTTACCATTATTGGCGTCCCGAGTTCTATGAAATGCAGAGATATAACCTCGCAGCTGCACAAAGAACCAGAAACAACCCAAAAACCTCAGGTTTCATCAACTTGTTGAAAAGCTCATAAAGTATGGGCCTAAGACTCGTGCTTATTACCACATGTACCTAGATTTCAATGGCGAAACGTTGGCTTGGATGATGGCCGTTGATGCTTCATTCTTGCTTGAATTTCTTCAAATCTTTGCAATCAAAGAAGGTAACAAAAAGGTACTAACCAGTGTCTCATCAAGAATGTCACATTTGCTTGATATTGCAGGGGCAAAATCTGCACACAACGCCCTTCTCAGAGATATGGTGATGCTTGAGAATCAAATTCCATTATTTTTACCAAGAAAGATGTTAAAGTTCAATTTTCATCAGTAGAATTAGCAGATAACATGTTGGTTTCAATGTTGATTGGGTTCTGTCGAGAGCTCTCTCCATTCAAGATGATGGAGGAAGAACACCCACATATTCGAGTTTGGGAGCATGTTCACTTGCTAGACGTTTTGTACAGTTCAATCGTGCCGGAATTGCAAGAACCATCGGAAATAACTGAAGTCAAGGAAGAGAGAGAAAAGGAAGGTGAAGGTAAAGATGAAGAAAGTAAAATTTTGGGGAGGCAAATTACATTAAACAATGCTTTGATGAGGTTTGGAAGTTAATTATGAAATTAGGTCATGGCCCAGGTCTAATGCTAGAAACAACAGAGACTTGCTGCAAATTGAGGTATCCATGCCATCTTACTCTCCTAGACCTGATATGAAAGATATTGTTAAATGGTTGCTTACCCCCAATGGCTACTTCTCCTCTTCTTCTGCCCTGGAGGAACTAAGGTATAGACAGCCTTTGGTTCCTTGGCATAAGCTTCTTTGGTTCAGTCAATGTATTCAAAGATGAGCTTCTTCTTTGGCTTGCCTTTAGATGTAGACTTTCAACCAAGGATC